GGGGGGGACAACAATCATAATAAAAATACCCTTGTTGTTTTGTTCTTGTATGTTCAGAAAATTAGACATTTACTTTGCCATTTTATTTATTTTATATTTTAGCTCTGGCTGATCCAGATGCACCACATGGTGATGATGACCATGGCGTAGCAGGTGATCAGCAGCAGGTAGATACGGAAGAGCAGGTGGTCGAGGACGTATCCCACGTGACACCACTGGTCCTGCAGCTCGTTCTCCTTCTGCATGGAGATAAGGTGAGAACGAAGATCCCTCAGATACTGGCAGATCTGCTGCAGCTCCGGCACAGAAACTGGACCTGGTAGAGAGGATTTATACTGAGTTGCATCAAAACAGGCTGGAATCACTCTGTTGCTACTAAACATGTACACACATGACAGTGCTGTGGTTCTGTTTATTGCTCATGCTACATTTAAACTAAAGTACCATGTAATGTTAACTAATGCTGACCAAATTAACCAGCTGGAACAGTTTCAACCCTTGTAAGCCTAAAACATACGTCATATAGTTGTCTCTGATTCTGATCTCTTTCATTTGAAGTCATCTGAGAGATTTGGATGGTCACAGAAAACAAGGACGTATTTAAACATTACTGATGACACTGGCTTACTAAAAGTTAAAGATTAATATTTTAATTACTTGTCTGATAAGCTCCATTGCAGGCTGTGTGCCTGTCAGGGCCTTGGTTGACTGGTTGGACGACCCATGGGCCCGTGGTGCCGTTTGGGCTCTCAGGTTTATCCTCTTGTGTTTTATCAGGCAGACGGACATCTTCAGGCCAGCGGTAACAGATCAGGTTGGCTATATGCTTGAGGATAACAACTCGAACCCAGTTTGGAATTTTCTGATACTTCATGGAGCTGTGATGAAGGACGTTGGTAATGATGACCGTCTCCAGAAGACTAATGACCATGAGAGCCAGACACACTGAGAAATAGATACCTAGAATAAAAAAGATGGCATTATTAAAGCAGTAAAATGAGCACTATTAAGGAAAGATTTACTGAGACGACTGTCTGACTTCACTCGGTGCTTTGTCAGGCTTTGTGTTGCTAGAGTAACCTCACATTACCAATGATGGGAGTGCCATTGGCTGTGCTGGGCAGCAGGTCGTTCATGATGAGCAGGAAGACGGTGTAACCCAGGATGAGAGTCATTTTGAAGGAGGCACGGTCGACGCTGTGAGGGGGCAGGTAGAAGGACAGGATGTCGATCAGCATGAGGAAGGAGCTGGGGATCAGCAGGTTGACCACATAGAGCACCGGACTCCGCCTTATCACCACCTAACGGACGCCATAAGAACATGCAGTTAAAGTTAGTTGACCTCATTCTCTCTCTTTTAGCTGCAGCGTTGGTTTGTAACTCCTGAGATAAATACCTGACAAGTTAACTGCAACAATCTGTATTATGCCTAGTCTATAGGATGTTTCTGAGTATGTTTGCTTTTTGTTTAGTTCAGAGAAGGCAGTTTTGGAGCTTTTCTAGTAAAATTAAGTCACATTTTTTGTACAAACTGCAGCCCAGTATGGATTATTCATGCTGCTGATTTCTTACCCAGAATTTGCTATATCCCTACTCATCTGCTCACAACAGACTCATGTTCAGGCTGCTGTTTAATACACTGTATTATATTATATTATTATCGTTTAGCATATATCTTAGATTCTTGTATACTGTTTTATTTTTAAATAGTTTATATTATTGCTATTTTTAGTGGGACATTGAGTACAACATTTTGTTCCACCTCATGCAATGCGAACGACAATAAAGTCACCTTGAACAGTGAGCAGTGAACCTTGATCAGGTACGAACCCTGCAAGCATCACATAGGTACTTGGTAGATACCAGTTAAGTACCAGACAGGTACTGACCATGTACATACCCCATAAATACCATTACATACTAGGTACCTTATCCCAAGTAAGTTCAAGTTGGTTCTTGGTAAGGACCCAGTATTCTCTAGGATGTATTCTGTATTGCTGTTTTTTGTAATATAAAAAGTTACATTCTTTGATTTATTCATTTTTTGCCAAGCACCAAGCTAAATTTGAACTTAACCTATGCTGCTCCTGTCCTGTGTTTATTTAACCTTTAGTCTTAATGAGTCATGAGGACTCATTTTCAATACAGACCTGTTTGGGAGCAGATGGTGGGGGTTATGGGCCTTGCTCAAGGGCCCAGAGTGAGGCAAATGAAGGTGGAGGCAGGCGTAGGTGTTTCACCTTTTCCACCCATATTTTGATATTGTTGGTCCAATGAGTTGAACTGGAGGCCTTCCGATCACAGGCCCACCTTCTCTAACCTCTGCTCCACCACTCCCCTACTGAGTGAGCTTAGCTAGGTTAAGCTAACGGGCTAGGACAAAGTTTCCTGTTTACCTCACCAACATAAGATGAGAGAAATCCAACATGTGCCCTTAGAAAACTACAGGAACTAACAGCGACAGTCATACACGACCGGATCAGCTACCACAATATAGAACCGATCATAAAAAGTCACGCACTTTAGTAAAATCATCATTACATCTTTGTATCCTCCCTCAGAGGTTGTTTCCTCCCCTACAAAGGTTTATTTTATTGTCATTCTAACATATGTGTGTGAAATTTCATTTCCTTCTAAATGTTATGAACTCAGTAAAAACAAGTTTATCCGACCCAGAAGGTGATGATGTCCCACTCGTCTATCCCAAACTGCAGAATGGAAGATTCTCCCACAATGTCCACCAGCTCCCACTCTCCACTGGCTTCCAGGTATTTCTTTGAGTTTCTCGACATCTCACTGAAGGACAGGGCTGGACTGAGCCTCACATCACGTACTGTGAACCAGAATCACAATATGAGCAGAAACATGCAACAGGAACTTCTATAGAGTAAATGAATAAGTTAGCTCAAAGAAAAATGATCTAATCTTTCTTTTTTTGTTGTTGTTTTCAATTTTTTCTAGTCAAGCCTGTATTCTCATCGTCTTATCCAGTCAGCAGCTTGACAGTTTTTGTGACTGTGTAAATAGAAAGGGAGCTTTTCTTACTGGTGTGCATGTAAGAGCCAAATGTAAACGTGCAGTTCTGCACGTCGAAAGGAAAACTGAAGATCTCCAGGTTGCAGGCCGAGACGAGACGCAGCATCCTGTCCCAGCGAATGTGACCTGTGTGGTTGACATAAACGTATGGACAGGCCTGGGAGACGTCGTCGTCCACGCTTGGGAGGGTGCGTGAATCAGGGCATAAAAGAATGACGAGAAACAAAGAGAGTACTTCAGAAAAACCGGATGAAGTCACAGTTCTGCCGTTAATTTTTGGAATACCAAGTCTCTTTCTACTGGAAACATTAATTTTCTCTGTTTTGTTCCTGTTTGTCTGTTTGCTTTCTTGAGTTTAGAAAACTGTGCACAGCTTATTCTCAAGCTCTTCGCTCTCAACCCCTTTCCACATGAGGGTTTGCAACATCTAATTTCTTTAAAGTACAAGCTGTCACAGTATCTAGTATAACATGACTGTTTTTTTTTTTTTTCTGATATCAGGTTGCAACTGTAAACGTCCATGAGGATGAATATGTCTACAATATGTATGTGTCATCACCCGAGGGTGCAGCTGGGCCGCAGGCTCAGAACTTATCAGCTTCTGTGAAAACTGTTAGAGCTCCAGGATGTGCACCTAATTTAAATGTTACATAAGGGACTCTGTCTGGTCTCAGTACTGTTAGCGGCTCTGACTCAAGCGGAAAGTGTCATCTTTGTTTTTGCAGATCTGCATCTGCACCAGCTAGTTGGTTATCTCCCTACAGCGCTGGGAACAATTCAGATGAACCCCCCCAGTGGTGCCGTGCAACACATGAAGGAAAACAACATCCATATGCCTCACAGTTTCTGTATCACAAGCTTTACATACGTTTTTTTAATTATTAGTCGAACTTTCTCACATCTAACTAAAGCGTCAATAATAGCCAAATCAATGTATTAATGTGTCAGCATTTAGTAATTTGGTCCATTTTAGATTATATTTTCCTGCTTTTTATTCAGGACATGCCTGATAGAAATAGGCACAGTGCACGGAGGATGTTCCCCATTAATGTATGTGTTGAAATATGTCACTGAAGTCATAATAGGATCATCATTTTCTATCATATCATATCAGCATTACATAAACTAAATCTACCTCACCTAAGAACACAGCATACTGTAATCCACCACTGTTTGTCAGATTAGAAGCTACACCACCATGCAAAACTAAACTAAAATAAAATAAAATCCTCATTACAAGATTCAGTTTACTGTAAAAACCAAGATAATGAACCCACAGAGCATTAAATAAAATGACTGGAAGGACTTAAAATTGTGCCAGACAAAGATAAAAATTTACAACTGCAGCTCAAATGGGTTTGAAACTTGTCACTTGTTGATTTGGCTCAGATAATAAGACTGTTGCAATTAATGCATTATATTAAACCACAAAGGAGAGTTCATACTAAGTTTATTTAAAGACAGAAGTCAGAAGTTTAGAGAGATATGTTCAGAGCAAGTTAGTTTGCTGAAATTTAAAAAAAAAAAAGCTACAGGATGCTTAGGATTAATGCACTCAGTCAGACATAATCTATTAATCAGGAAACCATGCATGTTTGAAAAAGAACTTTGAAATTTTATTGAATAACTTACAACTCATAAACAATGATGTCTGGAGTCCACAGCTCCTTCACAGGGAGAGAAATCCTGGTGACTCCCTGGCATTCATCAGGGTCCCATTCCAAGAACTCATTGTGCCAGAACTGCAGCGAGTTAGAAACAAATAATTTCCTGTAAAACTTCCAGCACGGCATATTTTACTTCAAAGGTTTCATTTTTAAATTGTCCTTGTGTGCAACTAACCAGCCTCAGCCACAAGAAGGTAGTAAGTATCTGAGCTTTTTCATTCTGAAATACAAAACAATGCAGATGATAACCAATGAACACAGTTTCATGTCAGCACGAATCATTCTATAACGAAACGTTTGACGTTCTTTATGAAAGAAACTCACCACCCCGAGGACGGCGTACAGGGTGAAGGAGAGGTTGGTGATGGTGGGGCTGCTCAGGTTCACTACTGGCCTAAAGGGCTGGAGGTCAAACACAGCCTGCACCGACTCGTAGCTTGGACCGCTTTGGCTTTCTTTACAAACCAGCTTACTGAAACACACAGACACTGTCCGGAAAGAGCAGGTTGATCAAAACATTTCACTTTAGCTCGAATTTAATTTACAATGCATGGTTGGGAAAACAACCTGATTTTAATGCAGCTTTAAATAACCAACATTAAACTGTGCACATGTTAACGTTGACAAATCCTGTCATATCAAAACTGTGACTAAAACATCAAGTTTTTTTTTTGGTTCAAGAAAGATCATTTTAACCCCTAAATAATGTGTGTTAGAAAAAAACGATAGCTGCTGCCATACAAAGAATAAACAATAAATCATGTTTTATTACCTGACATGAAGAGTAACCCAGAGGAGAAGCTGAAACTCTGCAGAGATGGAATCATGGTGCAGACTGTGACGAGTGAAATAATCTCCACAACTTCAATTGGCATTAAAACGCCTCTGCTCAGACGACATGCACTCCCAGCCTAACCAGAGCTACTACTGGTCTGTTGTTGCATCGAATAATTATCTGAGCAGAACTCAAAGCTAAACACCCCCAAATCACTAAAATGTGTTAATTAGTTTTGTAGGAATGACCACTTTTAAAAAGACTAACCAGTTTTTATATCAGTACATCATTACAAATACACAGTTCACTCAAATATAGTCAAATGAACCTTCAGTTTTCTGGATTCAAATTAAACCTTTTGGTTTTTAATGGACTAAGAGGATTCTGGACTTTTGTACTCCAAACAGACTGTTTCCATCCACATGAGCGCACACCGTCCTTGTGAATAATACTACTAATAAAAAATAATAAAAAAAAACACAAGTGGGAGATCAACACAAGCAGTGGACCAGTGAACTTGTTGTTTCACACCTTCAATGACAGATCACCCATTATATTTTTTAACACCTTCAGCTGTGGGAGCCTCTTCTGTGCAACTGAATCATTCTTATAATTTAATGCTGTTTTTGATCACACACATACAGACACAGATGTGAAATGAACTTGAATCAGATCTATACACACATACTGTATAAATAATAGACACAAATGAAGAAAGGCACAAAACTTGAGCCAAAAACTTTATTTTGTGTTAAATGAAACAAAGATGTGGTACAATAAATGATCTCAAAACGTACAGCCATAAATGTCTGTGTGGTTCAATCAGTAGTTTTTGAATTAATTTACCAATTTTAACAAATTTAGTTTTTTATTTAAGAACAAGATGAGAAAAGTCTACACCAAGATAACAGCATCTTGTATAATTTTACTAGATATAGAAGTAAACATTATATTTTGAAAGCTCATGAGATGGGCTGCAGTTTGATTGTTTATGATTTATGGTCTTTGTTGTAATTTTATGACTAAAAGCCATATTTGCACTTGTTATAGCAGGACCCAAAAGCAGGCATGCATTTTGAAAATGCAGCTGATTTGACCGTCAAAGTGCATTTATTAAGCAAAAGTTCAACTGAGACACACTTTTACTATAATTTTGAGCAAACAAATAATTGTTTTTAAGTGTTAATCTTGTGTGTTTTAAGTGTTAAGTCTTGTTAAAGTCCTCCCGTGCACTCTCCCACGACCACCATTTGACAGCCAATCGATTTTTAGCACAACACCGGCCCACATTTATGGGTTCGGCCCATATTTCTAGGTTGTCAGCGGTGACGCGTAACAAACGCGACACATCAGTGGTGACGCATAATAAATGCGACATATATGGCGAAACGACATATTTATGGATTTTTCTTTCCACTTTATTAGACACATTTGGACTGATGCGGCTTATAGGGCGGTGCAACGTGTACAGCGTAAAATACGGTACCTATAAAATGTCATCCAATAGTTGAGAAATGGACTATATGCCACGGACTTCCGTTCTAGCGCTTCCGCATTCATTAGCCAGGCTGCACACTTCCGTCTCTCAGGCAACACAGTGTTAGTAATGGCGTTTTTCACTCGTTCGCTGCAGGACTTGCCGACAATGTCTGTTAATGATGTCTACAGAATTATTCAGACGTCCTCGAAAGCACCCACATCCAAAAAGGACAAAGGATTTAAGCTTTATGTGTCCAACTACATAAATAACTATGAAGGTAAGTCGGTATTTGTTTTTCAGTTCACCAAACTGTCTCATATAGGCTACATATAACACAGCTAACATAGCTAATCTTGCGAAATTGTTGCGTAAACGTTAAGTGTTTTGTCTCTACAATGTTTCTGTTTAACACAAATCTTAGTTTCAAACAAGGAGGCAGGAGAAGTCACAGTTAGGGCTGAGTGTTTCCGTTCCATGAAGAAGAGCCAGAAGCCCCATTGTTTGAGTGTAAGTCAAAGGGACCCGACATGTTCACTACAGGGCTGTGTCTTAAGAAGCTAGTAGGACTTTGAAGAAGTACACATTTTATATATGATAGTCAAACTAAATCACATAACATTAACTGGCTACACAAGTTGTCTCTGATTGATAAAGCAACAAAAAAAGCCCAACTTGTGTTTATTTTATTTATTTATTTCTGAGGTACACAAAGGAACAGTTGCTTCAGGTTTGTTCTTTTCAAATCAAGTTTCTGTGAATTCTGTCACTGCAAAAAAAGAAAAAAGAAAAAGAAGAATATGATTGAACTGCATCAAATGGCACCTGGGTTGTCATGTAATACATAAACTTAGGGAGTATCAGAAAAAATATAACAGTGATGGTTCTCACAGAAATGAGATTGTGTTTTGAGTTCTTTTTAGTTTAATGAGTAAAGTGAGCTTAGACAAAATATATTTTAATATATTTTACATGCTAAAGGTGTCTTAACATTTTTTTCTCATTTCACTTTGATCATTTTTAATGATTACTTAAAATGTTTATTAATGGTTTTATAATTATGGTTGTCTTTTTATAATAGCACTTGGAGCTGGTACATTTTGGTCTCAACAAATATTTGGTATTGTACACAGATGGTGCTGAGGGAATCAAAGCCGGTGGAGTTTCAGGGATG